TTTTCTCACATTTTGTATTGTATTTCAACGCATTCTCACCCCAAGGCGTCACCTTTGACCATGCTTCAATATTTGACGTTTTAGGCGCCTTTTCGCGTCACTTACATGACGCGATCCTACGGCGTCATCTAACTGACGCTAAAGGAAAGCGTCAGTTAGAGGACGCGGTTAGGTTTAGGTGTGGGGTGGGGGTAGGGTACACGCGATCCTAGGGCGTCATCTAACTGACGCTAAAGGGCGCCTAAAGCGTCAGATATTGAAGCATGTCCAAATGCTTCCCAAGGCGTCAGTTAAGTGACGCCTTGGGGGTGAGAATGGGCTGTGTATTTGTGTTATTGGTCGTTTTGTTTTGTTGTTGTTTATTCTGTAAAGCACTTTGGTTCACCTATTGGTTGATGTAAGGTGTTATATAAATTAAGTACATTTACATTTACATGCTAGGCTAAGATTGCACTGTTCGACAATACCAAAGAATGTTAGGTTTCATAGCTTCAACATCCACTGTGATTTCTTTGGGACTGTTGCACATGAGACCGTTCCAAGGGCCAATCCTCAAACACAAAATTAAGGTGATGCGCCACAGGCTTCGTACCCTCTCTTTGTGGTTCAGACCCCAGGTCCCTTGCCTTGGGTCCTACTCTAGGGGTGTCATGTCGTTGCAGACTGCTAATGACAAATGGCTCCCTGATGGGCTGGGAGCTGTCTTAAGTGGTCGTCCAGCTCAAGGGGAATTAGAGGGTCATCAGCTCAATTGGTACATCAACTGCCTAGAGCTAATGGCTGTATTTCTTGCCCTACAATATTTTCTCCCTCAGTTAAGAGGCTGTCATGTCGTAGTACTGGTGGAAAACACAGCAGTAGTCTCTTACATAAATCACCATGTAGGTTTGCGTTCATGCAATCCAAACAGAAAAGTGAGGCAGATTTTTCTCTGGGCCCAGGGATCAGGACAGTGTATATTCCTGGGCATCTGAATGTGGTATAGTGGATTTAAATTCCATCTCAGGCCAAATCTGTGGAAGCTTCATGTTTGGCCCCTGATGGGGCCAACGTTATTGAGACCATTCTAAGTACTAGGGCCTCCTTCACTAGAATGAATTATGGAGGTAAATGGGGTCTAAAAGGTGGTGCATGGCACATGCAGATTTAGTCAACTGCCAGATTGCTTCAGTTCTGGACTTCCTGCTGGAGAATTTGTCGACAGGCACATGCCCTTCCACTCTCAGGGTTGATGTGGCCGCTCTTTCGGCTTGTCATGCCTTGGTTGACAGGGCACCACTCTGGACATCCTCTGCTCGTTGGCTTCATTCGTAGGGCCAGACGACTCAGGCCGCCTGTAAGTACCAAGGGGAGATCTAACAGGGGAGATCTCACAGACTGTGTCCAGTCCAGTGGCGTAAGTCAGAGCAATTGTTCATCTGTTATGAGGGCAGTAACAGCGGTGTGGCCACCAAGCAGACCATGTCACATTGGGTCAGGGATGCTATTGCTTTTGCCTATGAGGCACATGGACAAGATTCACCAACGGGTCTAAGGGCTCACTCCACCAGGGGGGTCGCCTCTTAAAATGCTCTGGCAAGAGGTGCCCCCTTACAACTTGTTTGTGATGCTGCAGGCTGGTCCTCTCCGCACACTTTCATAAGATTTTATAGTTTGGATGTTCATGCCACTCACTTACATCCTTGTGTCAACATCACAAGCTAATTGTCTGAGGCTTTCTTGCGTTTTTGTGAGCGCCGCCCTTCTTGTTCAGCTTTTTCAAGGAACAGGGTTGCAGTCAAGTAACCCGGGTCATTATGCTCTTAGGGATTCATTCAATTTTAGATTTACCTGGACCTAATAGTCAAGTTAAAAAACTAATTATGTAGATCACCTTACATAATCAGATGGTTACGGAGCCCGGGAAGTCACCTGTGGGAAAAAAAACAACAATCCGTGGCGACGGTTTTGCAATCCGTCCCCTCAGTTTATAAACTGTACTCACGGATTCTTAAACTGTTCCCTCGGTTTAACGATTTGTGCCCACGGATTAATAAACCGTACCCACGAGTTCCTAATCCGTGCTCTCAGATTTGTAAACCATGCCCTCAGTTTTTGCAATCTGTACCCACAAATTCATAAACCGTACCCACGCTTTCGCAATCCGTACTTACGGATTTGTGGTTCGTCCCCCAGAGTGTGCCGCATGATTGAACCAGGCCTCCTGTTTAGATGCAGGATGCATTGTTTTTAAAAGGACTTTCAAAAAATAAATAAATATAGGCCTAACACAAACGCAAAGTTATAGGCCTATTCAAAACATTCATAAATTGTTTTATGATTACCATATTCCTGTCTTAAAGTGAACTCATTTAAATTTATAAAAACGCAAATAATAGGCCTAATAATAATAATGCGGCTATTATTATTACATTTAGGCTACAGATAAGACGCTTTTATCAAAAAAAGAAACAAAGCAATTGGTCAAATGTCAGTCATAATACAGGTTAGACAATAATACATGTCTGAGATTATCACAAATAAACACAAGATTTTGACGCATGTCCAAGAGTTTGTGCACAAAAAATAAATAACAATGACTTTTTGCCTTTATTAAACATTTAAAATATTCGCAAATTAATAAGAAAAAAAAGACTTTCTAAAAACTATATTTTGCCCACATTGCTAAATGAGAAGGGCATGTTTCTGGAACCATAGAGAGATGATTTACAGGTGATTTATAGGCTAATCATAATAAATGTGTCTGACAAATAACTATGGATTTTTATTGCTTAAATAAACAGTTTTCTAGTGAAGGGCGATCTCCATCTCCGCTGTAAAGCAGATGCACCTTAGAGAAATGCACTTTTCGGATTCTATAGCTTAATCTGACGACGGTATTTGCTTTCGATTCGAATTTGTTCGTTTAAAAGTGGACATTTCAAGCTTTAGATAGGCTTTTGTTTCAGCTTATTTATGAGACGCGCTCCGGAGATAATGAAAGCGCGCCTGAAAAACAATATTTTTAACAAAACAAAAATATTTTATTTTACAAATAGGCCTACACAACGTTTTCTTGTTATTGTGAGTTTACACAAATAAAAGTAATAGCAAATAATTGTATTATGTATAATGTATTTTTTCTGTATGAACAGAAATGCTATTAGGCTATTTTAAATTGTTCCACTGTTGATAGGAAGTGTTTGCGGCCGCGGCTGCAGTGACAGTGCGCGCTCCAAACAAACACTTGGATATGCGTTTGTTTGTTATAATCTTAGCCCATTATATAATCTTAGCCCAAACAAACACTTGGATATACATTTGTTTGTTATAATCTTAGCCCATTATTATTGTCTAAGACTGATTTGACGAATTGCTTTGTTCTTTTTTTGTGGATAAAAGCGCCTTCTAAATAGGCCTATGTAGCCTATAAATGGATTTTGATTGCTAACATTAATTAGCCTATTATTTGCGTTTATTATGAATGAGTTCTTCGAAGACAGTAATAGTTTAACATAGAATAATTTATAACATATAACCAAATCTTTTACAGTTTTTGAACTGTGTTATTTTATTTATTTTTTAGCTCATTATATAGGCTACTGAGCTTTTTCCTCTAAAAAAATGGACTTTAAAGATAAACGTAGCCTAAATGTAGGTGTTTTTTTTTTTAAGAAAATGCAAGAAATTATCCATTTTTAAAAAAGGATTTTAAAAACAATACAATGCATCCCGCATCTAAACAGGAGGCCTGGTTGAATCATGCGGCACACTCTGGGGGACGAGCCACAAATCTGTGAGTACGGATTGCGAAAGCGTGGGTACGGTTTATGAATTTGTGGGTACAGATTGAAAAAACTGAGGGCACGGTTTACAAATCTGAGAGTACGGATTAGGAACTCGTGGGTACGGTTTATTAATCCGTGGGCACGAATTGTTAAAGCGAGGGAACAGTTTAAGAATCCGTGAGAACAGTTTATAAACTGAGGGGACGGATTGCAAAACCGTCGCCTCGAATTGTTTTTTTTTTTCCCCACAGGTGACTTCCCGGGCTCCGTAGATGGTCTTTGCCTAAGTGCCTGCTTCTTGACTTGAATAAGCTGCAAAGACTTGAATAAGCTGGTTCTTGACTTTTAAATGAAGTTCACTTTAAAAAAACTTTCGCTGATAACTTTTCATCAAAATGAACAAATCTTTTTTCGAGTCATTTCGTTCGTTGAATGAACGAAATGACTCGAAAAAAGATTAGTTCATCGCCTTATTCATCGCTTGGTGTCGTTTAAAGCCCTTTGAAGCTGCACTGAAACTCTCATTTGGACCTTGAACCGTTTGGCACCCAATGAAGTCCATTATGAAAATAATCCTGGAATGTTTTGATCAAAAACCTTAATTTCTTTTCGACTGAAGAAAGAAAGACACATATTGGATGACATGGGGATGAGTAAATTATCAGCAAAAGTTTTTTTCAAAATTGAACTACTCCTTTAATGCCAATGACCCAAACCTAGAATAAAAGACAACCAAGGTGAAATTATTTGTTGAAGACTTTGAAAGTTTATAGTTCCTTTGAAAGTTCCTGTGAATATTTCTTTTAAATGAATTGATAAATCATTCAATGATTATAAATGAGCCAGCTATTTTCATGGGTTATACTCCTTATGTTTAATGCACAAAGGAGCTCAAACGGAAAGACCAGAATTCATCATCTTCTGTGAATTTTGGAAATAGGAGCATTTTTCAATTACTTAGCGAGACAACAAGTAATCTAATGACCTCTTCTCTCTGTTTGAGCTCTGAACCACTGAACAGCATCAAATTAATTTAGACATTTGGAATTGTACATGTTCATGTCTTGGTTTTGTTTGAGAACGACACCACTTATCCCTGCTGAATCTTTCTTACTACCATTCAGCAAAGTTCAAGGAATCTTGCTATAAAGATGTCAATCACTGTTTAATCTGTTCCACGAGATAATACTGTTTTATACTACAAGTGGCTAAAGTCCCCCTTCGGTCTATCATTTTATGTGATGGGTTTAGAGAGGACTCAGAAGCGAGGATGACAATCACAGCTCCTTTAATAACAAATGGCAGGATGACCACAGGTACGTGTAACAGAGGAATTATATTAATCAGCAACATAAGGCTCCTGTAGAACAGGCAGTCGAACTTGAACAGAAAACTCCCTCTGTGGTTCAGGCAAAGATGAGCAGAGAGCTGGAGCAGAATTACACTCGAAGTCATCAGAGATATGCTTCTAGACTGGACTGGACTTAGACACCTGCATGCATCAAAACTTACAAACAAACTGACAACAAGACAAGGAAGAGAAGGTAAGAAAAAGCCAAGATAATGAGGGGGGGAACGAGAGACAGGTGAAGAGAGATGAGCCTAATGAAAAGTGATAACAGCTGTCAGTAATGAAAGTGAAAGCGGCAAGTGAGTGAGTGAACGAATAACCAGCAGGGGGAGACAGAGAACGAGCCAGGATCATGACAGTACCCCCTCCTCAAAGAGCGCCACCTGGCGCTCCCTAGGAGGAACCCTGGCGAGACCGGAGGAAATCATCAATGAGCGAGGGGTCCAGGATGTCCCGGGGGGAAACCCAGCTTCTCTCCTCAGGCCCTCCCAATCGACCAGGTACTGATGTCCTCGACCCCGACGACGCATATCCAAGATCTTACGGACAGTATAGACAGGAGAATCCTCCACACGGACTGCCGAGAACGCGGTACGAGAAGTCGAGCGATTGACGGGCTTAACGCAGGAGACGTGGAAAACCGGGTGGATGCGACGAAGGTTGGGAGGTAAATGAAGCTTGACGGCGACAGGATTAATAATCTTGACTATACGGAATGGCCCGATAAAACGGGGAGCCAACTTGCGAGAGTCGGACTGAAGAGGTAAATTGGAAGTGGAGAGCCACACTCTCTGGCCAACACAATAGCGGGGACTCTTAATGCGATACTTATTAGCCGAGATGCTCATACGTCTCCTAGCACGACAAAGGGACGATCTCACTCTCCTCCAAGTTCGCTTGCAGCGACTGATGAACGTCTGAACGGAGGGACAGTTAGACTCTGTCTCTTGCGAGGGAAAAAGCGGAGGTTGGTAGCCGAGACAACAATGAAAGGGTGAGAGCCCCGTGGCAGAAGATGGGAGAGAATTGTGGGAATATTCTGCCCAGGGAAGCTGCTCAGCCCAAGACGCAGGATTACGGAACGCCAGACTGCGGAGAATGCAGGCCACAATCTGATTGGCACGTTCGGCCTGACCGTTAGTCTGGGGATGAAACCCCGAAGAGAGGCTGACAGTGGCACCAATAAGGCGACAAAATTCTTTCCAGAATTGTGATGAGAATTGCGGGCCCCTATCAGAAACGACGTCGGTGGGCAAACCGTGCAATCTGAAAACATGATTAACCATTATCTGGGCGGTCTCCTTGGCAGAGGGAAGCTTGGCGAGAGGAATGAAGTGCGCGGACTTCGAAAAACGGTCGACCACAGTAAGAATGACGGTATTACCGGCCGAAGCAGGGAGACCCGTGATAAAGTCGAGCGCTATATGAGACCACGGACGAGTAGGAACTGGTAGCGGGCGTAACAGACCAGCGGGCGGAGAATTACCAGCCTTGGTCTGGGCACAGACAGAACAAGAAGCGATAAAACGGCGCGCGTCATGTACTAAGGTGGGCCACCAAAAGCGTTGGCGAATAAGCGCGATAGTGCCCCGAACGCCGGGGTGGGCTGACAATTTGGAAGAATGTCCCCACTGAAGGACGGCTAGGCGAGTGGGCACCGGAACGAATAAAGAGCCCCTAGGACAATCTCGCGGAGTGACGGCATGGGAAAGAGCACGCTTCACCTGTCTCTCGATTCCCCAAATCGCCGCTCCCACCACACGACCAGGGGGAATAATCTCCTCCCGGGTGGAAGAAGAGGAGGAGGACCCAAAGAGGCGAGACAGCGCGTCCGGTTTAACATTCTTGGACCCGGGCCGATAAGAGATGGAGAAGTCGAAGCGCGTGAAAAACAGCGACCAACGAGCCTGGCGTGCGTTCAGTCTCTTAGCGGAACGGATGTATTCTAAATTTCGATGGTCGGTCCAGACGACAAAAGGAACGGAGGAACCCTCCAACCACTGGCGCCATTCGCCTAAAGCCAGACGAATGGCGAGCAGTTCCCGATTGCCGACATCGTAATTACGTTCCGCGGAAGACAGACGGTGCGAAAAAAAAGCGCAAGGATGTACCTTGTTATCGGAGGCTGACCGCTGAGAAAGAACGGCGCCTACCCCTACCTCCGACGCGTCGACCTCGACAATAAACTGTCTAGTGATATCCGGCATGATCAGAATGGGTGCGGTGGTAAAGAGAACCTTTAGACGGTCAAAAGCCTCTTGAGCGGATTCTGACCACCTAAAACAGGACTTAACTGAGGTCAGGGCGGTGAGCGGCGCGGCTACTTGACTGAAATTGCGTATAAAGCGGCGATAAAAATTAGCAAATCCAAGAAAGCGCTGTAACGCGACACGAGAATCAGGAACGGGCCAGTCAACTACCGCCTGGACCTTAGACGAATCCATACTGATTCCCTCAGCCGAGATGACCGAACCTAAGAATGTAACGGAAGGCACGTGAAAAGAGCATTTCTCAGCCTTTACAAAGAGGCGATTCTCGAGTAAGCGCTGAAGTACGCGGCGTACATGCTGCACATGGACTTGGAGGGAGGGTGAGAAAATCAATATGTCATCGAGATACACAAACACGAACACGTTTAGCATATCCCGAAGGACATCGTTGACAAGGGCTTGAAAGACGGCGGGGGCGTTGACCAAACCGAACGGAAGGACCCGGTATTCAAAGTGCCCGAGGGGTGTATTAAAAGCGGTCTTCCACTCGTCCCCCTCTTTAATTCGTACGAGATGGTAAGCATTGCGAAGATCAAGCTTAGAAAAAATCTTTGCTCCCTGCAAGATCTCGAAAGCTGAAGACATCAGTGGTAAGGGATAGCGGTTCTTAACTGTGATGTCATTCAGCCCCCGATAATCTATGCAGGGACGCAAAGAGCCGTCTTTCTTCTTGACGAAGAAAAAACCTGCACCGGCCGGAGACGAGGACGGGACAATTGTGCCAGCCTTGAGAGAGTCCGACAAATAATTCTCTAACGCCTCCCGCTCAGGAGCCGAGAGGGAATAAAGTCTTCCCCGAGGGGGCGTGGTACCCGGGAGAAGCTCAATACCACAATCGTAGGGGCGGTGAGGAGGGAGAGAAGTGGCCCGGGAACGACTGAATACCTCCCGCAAATCGTGATACTCCTCCGGTACTCCAGACAAATCCCCTGCCTCTTCCTGAAACACAGAAACAGAAGACACAGGAGGAACAGCAGACACAAGACAATCAACATGACACGATAACTTCCAAGACAAGATGGAGCTAAGGGACCAGTCGATATGGGGATTATGACGTTTAAGCCAGGGATGGCCTAATACTACTGGAGTAAAGGGCGAACGAAAAACAAGAAAAGAAATAGTCTCTCGATGATTACCAGAAACGGTAAGAGTCAGTGGAACGGTCTCACTTAGAACCCTAGGTAGGGAACTACCGTCTAGGGCGAAAAGGGGGGTTGAATGCTTTAAATAGGTGAGGGGAATACCCTGCTGCCGGGCCCACTCCTCATCCACGAAATTTCCCTCGGCCCCAGAGTCGATCATGGCAGAGCAGGAGACAGATGAACTGGACCACTGAAGATGCACAGGTAGAGTAGTGCAAGAGTCTGAAGGGATCTCTCTAGAGATTGCGCTCGCCAGTAACCCTCCGCCTACTGACGAGCGCTGGCCTTTTACTGGGCACGACAAAGCAAAGTGGTCGGGAGCAGCACAGTACATACAAAGTCGATTAACCAGTCTCCTCTCCCGTTCCTTAGGGGAGATTCGCAGACCTCCAAGCTGCATGGGCTCGGGATCCGGACTCGGAGAGGGAATAACGGAACCAGCAGTAGGCGTGGCCCCCAGGACAGATTCCATGCGGCGAGCTCGGCGTCGTAAGTCGAATCCCTTCTCCACTCGAATCGCCAGTTGAATGAGCTCGTCGAGCCGAGCGGGGACCTCTCGGATAAGGATCTCCTCTCTCAGCTCGGAGTTGAGACCCTCCAGAAAACGAGCGACCAACGCGGGTTGGTTCCAGCCACAGGTGGTAGCTAGAGTCTGAAATTCTATGGAGAAATCAGAAACCGAGCGCCTCCCCTGCCGGAGAGAAGACAGCAACCGCGAAGCCTCCTCTCCGTGAGCAGAACGGTCGAAAACCCGGATCATCTCGTCCTTAAACAGTGCGAAGCTGAAGACGCAATCCCTCTCCGCCTCCCAGTTAGCCGCTGCCCATTCCCGTGCCCGGCCGGCGAGAAGGGAGATAACGTACGCCACCTTAGTGCGTTCCTTCGCGTACGTCAATGGTTGCAGGGAGAATATTACCTCACATTGGGTCAGAAACGACCGACACTGTGTGGCCTCACCCAGGTACATGGGCGGATTATTTATCCGGGGCTCCGGAGAGTCATGAGACCCCAGCGAGGAGGGAGGCTGGAGACGCAAGTTGTGGACCTGACAGGAAAGATCCGACATCTGGGCGGCCAAAGTCTCGACCGCGTGTCTGGCTGCGGAGATGTCCTCCTCATGCTTGCCCAGGAGAACACCCTGATGTTTGACAGCGGACTGGAACGCGTTGCCATTCGCTGAGTCCATTCTTGGTCAGTTTGTTCTGTGATGGATTTAGAGAGGACTCAGAAGCGAGGATGACAATCACAGCTCCTTTAATAACAAATGGCAGGATGACCACAGGTACGTGTAACAGAGGAATTATATTAATCAGCAACATAAGGCTCCTGTAGAACAGGCAGTCGAACTTGAACAGAAAACTCCCTCTGTGGTTCAGGCAAAGATGAGCAGAGAGCTGGAGCAGAATTACACTCGAAGTCATCAGAGATATGCTTCTAGACTGGACTGGACTTAGACACCTGCATGCATCAAAACTTACAAACAAACTGACAACAAGACAAGGAAGAGAAGGTAAGAAAAAGCCAAGATAATGAGGGGGGGGAACGAGAGACAGGTGAAGAGAGATGAGCCTAATGAAAAGTGATAACAGCTGTCAGTAATGAAAGTGAAAGCGGCAAGTGAGTGAGTGAACGAATAACCAGCAGGGGGAGACAGAGAACGAGCCAGGATCATGACATTTTATTCCTTAAAACTCATCTTTGATAACCAAAATGTATTTAA